TATTTATAATCCACTGCTAATCGACTTAGCCGTTATTACAGTGTAGAATTTATTTCTGCGTCATTCTGTGATAAGAAGCCACATCAGATCAAGAGGGAAATTATTTTAAATATTTGTCTGATGTTGTGCAGTAAAATAATGTTATAATGTTCTTTTTTGTTGTTGGACAAAAGGTTTAGTCATTACAAGGGAAGATGCTCGGCGTGTGTTGCTTTTTCAGAAGCAGGCGTTTTCTCATCTCAGCGCGCACTCACAGACACACAAACAGAGCCAGCTTGGAGAGAAATAAAACGCACGGAAATTTAAAAGCAAAACCTAAAAAAACGCTCTGATTGGTTGAACTCTTCATCTTTTTCTGTTGCTTGTTTTGAATACTGCACGTGGACAGAGGCGTCACCAGGTTTTTTTGCGTAGTTTAGAGTGACAAATCGTACCAGCGTACTTTGAGGTCAAAATGCGTATCCGCTACGCAAAATGCGTACAGGTTGGCAGGTCTGAGCATATATAGGTAGAAATTAAAGTATAATAACGTAAAAATTAAGAATGAGGGTGAAAGAGGTTTAACAAATTAAATGTTGGGTGTGCTTAAAGTTACTGTACCCAAAGGTGCTGTAAGTGCCTTTATGGAAATATCCCTGAAAGATATAAATACCTAAGCTGAGATATCACACTCATCTGCCCTAGTCTTTATGAACAAACAGTGACCACAAGCAACTGTCGGATTCTTCATTCAGCCAATGAGAAGGCTTTTGAGGTGCTTTCTGCCTGTCAATCATTTTGCACGTTCACAGTGGGCAGTCCATATATGGGAAGCCAAACGCTGAGAGCATGATAGATAACTTGGAGCGGTTTTCATGAGTTTAGAGGGAGCCAAATGTTCACAATTTCTCATGTCAACAACGACTTAAACAGCCAAACATTTTTATAGAAATATCAAGGGTCCACAAAACACTGGTGAAGCTTTTCAGGCCAAGTAAGGGTACCACCAGCAACTACCGCTGGTATCGCTCAATCCAGTTCTCTTCTTTTCCTGAAACCATCTCTGATCCATCCCAGACACCACTTCTCATACCTTCAGGACGACGTCTCCCTCTTGTATGTTGCCATCACGGGCTGCAAGGCTCTCGGGAGAAATGTCCTTTACAAATATGTGGCTGGCCAGACGCAGGCCGTATTCTGTGCACAACAGAAAATACACACAAGAATGAACAATAACAGACATAATCCACTTGAATTAATGAGTGACTGATAAATCTGGCTACTGAGTAACTTACTACAGCTTTGTTCTTGTTGAAAGCACCCTGTGGGTATTTCTGCCAGTAGACTAATCACAGCTATTAGCTAATGTACAACAGCCTGCATTACACCTGTTTACACATTCTAATATGTTTGCCAAGCCCTCTGTTGAAGCCATCAATAGTAATTAAGAGGTTTGTCCTCCAATTTTTAACAGCTCTACCCACCTTCATTCTTGCGGGACTTGACAAGTGTGACTTTGGAAGGTCGTGGCGGGACGTTGGATGCAACTGATCGTCTGTCTGAGCGCGGGGAAATGCTCCTCTCACGGGAATTACTATGGTCTCTCCTTCCGGTGCTGCCGCTGCGCTCGTTTCTTCTGCTAGTGCCTCCACTCGCTTCCCCTGCACGTGCTGGTCCCTCATAATCATCCTCCTCAGTGTCGTCCTCTTCCTCTCGCTCTGACATAGTCTCTCTGTCTCCCCCTCGACTTACAGGAATCTGCACCTTCCGCTTTCTGCGGATAGTCTGAACAGGCAATATATTAACATTTCAACCAGATGAATAAGATTTACATTCTAAAAGGTAACAATAGAGTATATTGATATATTAACATTAGCAAGGGCAATAGCCCGTTATATACCATTATTACACAGCTCTCTAGAATACTTCATTCTGATTGGTCAATGCATTTTGTGATCAAATGAGGCAATTAATTGCACTCAGAGTCCAAAATAAAAACATAATTAATTATATTACATATTCATATGTTTTTGGGGAATATCTGAGTGTGCATATTATTTTCTTATGTATCTTCATTTAAAGTGTGGATTCATCAATTATGTCAGTATCAGCTGTGAATGTGTGTATCCATGTCATTCGTATCACAGAAACCCTGAAGTACTGATCAAACTCTGCGCTTAAAAAATCTAGCTCTAAAGGTCATGCCTCTCCAGAGAGGACAAAAAAAAAAACAGAAACTGTCTAGACACTGACTAACAGCTCCTGTACACTCACAAAGACAAATACTCTGCAATACTGCAGTTTGACTCCCAGCATTCCTCACTGCTTAATGTAAAGCTCAGTCATGACTGATCACCTCCACGTCCTGCCTTCCTCAAGTTCTTCCATCCTCCATCACAGCCCACTACTCACATCTGTAGCCCAGTTAAGACTCAAGGTTGTACAGGACTGATGCAATGTACGAGGGATGATGATGATGTGTTGTTAACTTACAATTTTGGCATTCTTTCCACTTTTTCTCAGCTGCTGAACAGCGTAGGCATGCTCCACATTGTCCATGGAGACACCGTTCACCATCACCACTCTATCATTCTCTCTGCAGACAAAAAATATATATTTTTGTGAAGAAAAGAAAAATCTAAATGATTTTTTTAATATAAATATTTTAACAAATACTGATTTTTTTATAAATTAGAATTAAAATGCTATAATTACATAAATTTGTAATTACATATACACATAGATATATATATCGTTTATATGAGATTTATATATATATTTTGTGAAGAAAATCAAAGTCTAAATGTTTTTATATAAATAATATTTTAACAAATATAATTTAAAAGTAAATTGTATAAGTCATAATTACATAAAATTATTATATATACACACACAGATATATAAATAAATAATATATCCATAAATTTTTTAGTATTTATATAGCTAGACATATATTTGAAATTTTTTTTTTTTTTAATTTTTTATTTAATTTAAAATGCATCTTTATACATACAAATATTAAATAATACAAATTTTATTTTCATTTAAATAACTATGTTAGTTAAAAATCTGTTTTAAATGTTGAATACCCTAAATATTAAATATCTTACTGTAAAAGTCCTTCCGCTGGTCCCCCTTTAAGCACATCTGAGATCACTATAGAGGTCTCTCCGCTCTGGAAATGAGGGTTGTCACGGCCCCCTGAGATGGCGATTCCAAACCCGAAACCTGGCGCCTGCAAAGGACATGAACATACACGGTGTAGAGTGAGCTCTTTTAATTCACAGCACATCTCTGTATAATTACATTACATTACATGGAACAGAATGATGAAGACCAATATGTAGGTTACTGTGTGTGTGTGTGTGGTGTGTGTGTGTGTGTGTGTGATATGCGTTTTCAATGTCTGGCAGCTTTTCAATCTCCCAGGTGTCTGAAGCTCTGAGCTCTCACTTTTGCACTCAAGCAATCACAAAGAAAGGAAGATAAGACTGAAGAGGTAGAGAGTGACAGACAGACTCCAGACAGATGGCCAGAGCCTTTCCTGATGTCACTGGGCATCTTCATACACACACACACACACTGGTCTGTTCTACCTCTCTCTGCCATCCAAACCATCTGGCCTTCCTCTAAACACAAACAGCTATAAATCATAACAAGAGCCCGAGCAGGTGAGGAGCACATATAATCACAGGGGGAAAGAATACAGCCTTGTTTATTTTGCGGAGAGTAACTATGTAATACTGTTAGCCAGGAGCGGTCTGACACAGCTACACAGATTCCACCTATAAAAAAAAGCACCCAGTAAAAGGCTTAGCGCTTGTACACCTGTTATCTTGTCTAGGCTGTCAGTACATCAAAAAACAGGTCACAAGTGGGACTGACTGAACTGAAGTGTTACACAGACATCAGGTTATGAAACCGATCAAAGATGTGTGTGAGTGACCACAGTACTCCAGCTCTTACAGAACGAGGGGTTTAATAATACTGTGCCCAACTGACTGTTGCATAATCTCTGACTCGTTCTCAGACTCTGGTTTAGATAGGTTTGAGCCTAGGAACATGCAGGAAGAGGAAAAGGAACAGGAAGTGGAGCAGAGCAGGCATTTTGTCCTCTCCAAACTGTGTCCTGCCATCTGGGGGATCGGTTATTGTGTACTCAATGACCACACATCCTGTAACTAGCCATCCCAAAAGAAAAGAGAGAGGAGAGGGAGGAAAGAAAGACAAATAGAAAGAGTAGGGATGCACTAATATTAATATTCTGGTTATTACCCATAATACACATATCAGCGAATAATTTTCATGGCCAAAATCAACATTAGATACTACTTAGATGCTACTAAAAAAATAACTATTTTATATTTTATATCTCACTAAAAACTAAAATCAATAATTTAGCATTCTACAAATGAATGTAGGCATCAGAACATTAGAATGGAAAAACAGATATTCATTTTAAGATTGGCTAAATATGAACATTGGGGACATTGGATGAGGAATGGTGAAGTAGGAAAATGTAGAGGGGAAGAAAATTGAAGCACCAAGTGAGAAGATGAAAAAGAGCCAATGTTGAACACTCACCCTGTGAAGAGTCACCGTGTGCTGTTCCCATATTACGGTTTCCTCCATTGTTGTACTCTGGCAGTGAGACAGAGAGAAAGTGATCAGTTAGGACAAAGTCTAAGCACAGTCAATGAGTTTGTATCAGCAGGTATTTCTCCTCTTTGTCAGGAGGTGATTTTACTCTGAAGTTCATAGAAGTTTACAGCATGTGCCTAATAAAAGCATGCGATTAATAAAGCCTATTGACAATACTGTAGTCTAACAGGGTCAATTACAAGGTCAAAACAAAAATTAAACATACATAAATCAGTTGTTCACAATAAGATCTATAGCATGTTGCATAGACAACACATTATCAATTCATGCAACTTTTAATTTATGGATGGCTTATAACACCGTATCACCATCAAACAGAACAGAGTGATGTGATCACTATAAAAACACCTGCCCAAAATGCCCCGGGCTCCTGAGACATTCAACTTCTCTTGTCTGACCAATCAGACGACAGCTGTACCACTCATGTCTCTGCTTTCAATGCACACATCATACAAACAAACTGCTACAACATGAACAAGCTGACCTGGTATAAGTCAGAAGGGACAGACGCAGAGAAAGAGAGAGAGGGAATGATAAAGACAAGGAGAGGAAGAGCAGATGGTATTTATAGCTCTAACCCTGAGCTGAGGTGAATGGTTTGTGCTTCTGCTCCTTTCACCCCTGTACTGTAGATGCCAGGCTGGATAAATTATTACAGTAAGTCTGAGAGTTTCAAAACAGACTCAAGCACTAATGGTGCACACATTGTGTATGTCTAATTACATTTTAAAAATGTTTTTTCACTAAATGAACAAGGAAAACTATATCGGTCAATACAAGACTGCAATAAAACATTTTAATGAGAAAACATTTTATAACATCAGCAAAATCAAACAAATAAGGAATATTTCCTATACCACCCACTGTACATCACACTTGAACATCCAGCATATCTGCACTGAAAACACAGTTTAACCCTCTGACCTGTTTACCACGCTGCTTAGCAGGCATCTCATTCATGGTCCTAATTGGCACAGGGGCATTATTCAGTTCATGCCCCCATTTCTACCCCTCTCTCTCATGGTTAGGCTTTATTGTGAGAGAATCTGACCTATTTGAAAGGCATCCACCTCTCACAAGCTCACCGTGCCTCAATCCCTCCTCTGACCCTCATCCACACATTCCTTTAATGGATAATGGAGGTGCTGGATTCATCGGACTGTAAGAGCCGACAGCAGGGGCCCCGACCATAAGAAAAATGCCCATGCAGTGAGCCATGTGACAGACAGAGAGAGAGAGGCCTAGGGGTTCTTGTCCTTGGTGGCGGAAGAACAGCAGACTGTTTAGGCTTCAGAAGAATGGCCCCATTACGCCTGCGTGAAAGCTTAGGCAAGGCCAGGTGTGGAACGATAAAGGCTGGAATACACTACATGACTTCTGCGCAATAATTTTTTTTCAATCCCTCCTCTGACCCTCATCCACACATTCCTTTAATGTGTCTGTAGTGGCAGAGGTGCTGGATTCATCGGACTGTAAGAGCCGACAGCAGGGGCCCCGACCATAAGAAAAATGCCCATGCAGTGAGCCATGTGACAGACAGAGAGAGAGAGGCCTAGGGGTTCTTGTCCTTGGTGGCGGAAGAACAGCAGACTGTTTAGGCTTCAGAAGAATGGCCCCATTACGCCTGCGTGAAAGCTTAGGCAAGGCCAGGTGTGGAACGATAAAGGCTGGAATACACTACATGACTTCTGCGCAATAATTTTTTTTAGATTTACAGTCTAGACAAGTCAACGCTAGATGCCAAAAATCAGTACCAGTCTGAAGATCGGAGTTGACAGATTTCACAGAAAATTATGTAGTGTAAGATGGGCACAGAGTCCAATTTTTTGCTTCAGACTACAGTATGAATCCATCCAGTTAGAGGATATTGAACATGTTTGATATTGAGCTAATTTTTTTATTTTAACATTTTATTTTAACATTTGCCATGCATCTTCTAGCAATGAGGTTTGTTCTGAACAACTTGAAAGTCTGGTAGTATGTGATTCTTAATTTACTGTACGAGGCTCAGTTTTGTACATAACCATGTACATAGTCTGAGAAGTGTTTTAAAACCCATTTCAGAGTTGAAAAGCCATGTAGTGTATTCCAGCCTTAAAGGGGTCATATGATGCGATTTCAATTTTTCCTTTCTCTTTGGAGTGTTACAAGCTCTTTGTGCATAAAGAAGATCTGTAAAGTTGTAAAGACTAAAGTCTCAAATCCAGATATTCTTTATAAAACTTAAGTCAACCACGCCTACCTAAAACGGCTCGTTCTAACACACCCCCACATACCTACGTCACGATCTCGGAAGATTTGCATAACGCTTCCCAAATGTTCACGCAAAGAGAGAAGGCATAACTTTTATTCTCGCTGTAGTAGGTCGCTGAGGAAATACATCAACTTTGCGCTGTGGATCACCGGATCGGTTTTCAGCGTGGACGAAGCTGAGTCCAGCCCGGGGTCGTCACATGTGGTCGACGCTCCTTCGTCGAATTCTCCGGCTGCGCCGTTCTCAAGCCCGCCCACCTCTGCTCACTCAAGCCGGCCTCCGCTCACTCTAGGCCTCTGGCCTCCCCTCACTTAAGGCCACGGTGTGTGACGCTTTTTCGTTGTGAAAGCGAAACTACTTTGTTTGGTCTTCCAAAAGAGGACACGACTAGAAATCAGTGGTTAAGTTGTATTTACAACACTGTTCCAGAACACTTCAACCCAAATAGTCAGATGTGTGCAGCACATTTTATGGAGGACTGTATCCTGATCCTGGTAGAGTAGACTACAATGCCGGCTGTTCTGACTCCAGCATGGTACACATTATGTTATCATTACAAACGTGTTTAATATTGTCCACATGCATGAAGTGTAAAACGAGAAGGGCATAACCTTACGAAAAAAGAAAACACGCAAAAATCGCGGTTGCTGCGGTTTGCTCATCAAAAGCGCGGTATTGCGATATTGCGGTTATCGCGACAGCCCTAGCAACGTGTAAAAAGACAGTACAAGTCATTATAATCCGTAATTATGTCCCCAGTGGATGCAACAAATCCCTCGTTTATAATGGGTTTTAATGTTTATGTCTCGTAGCTCCGGCCGGACAGGGCATCACAATATGGTAAGGGGCGTAACATTTCCATCACACGCTTGAGGTATTCGGCCAATCACAACGCTCTGGATAGCTGGCCAATCAGAGCACACCTCACTTTTCAGACCGATGAGCTTTGTAAAAATCAGAACGGCGGGGCATAGAGGAGAAACAATAATGTACAGTATGTGGAAAATAATGTGGTTTTTTAACCTTAACTTTAACCTAAACACATTTCATTACACCAAATACACAAAATAATGTTCTTTTTAGCAACAACATATGAACCCTTTAAAGTATTAGATCATGTCCAGAATAAAAATCTCCTGATGATTTACTCGCCCCCATGTCATCCAAGATGTTCATGTCTTTCTGTCATCAGTCGAGAAAAGAAATTAACTGTTCAGACCGACAGTGATAGAAGCTCCTGAACATCACTCATTATCAGTGAGCGTCTGGCGACTGTTGAGTGAGTGATTTAGTGCGAAATACAGCGTCTTCCATGACTGAGGTCTCAGGAGCAGCTAGTCATTAAAACGGCTGCTCATTTATCAGCTGCTCGTTAAAACAGTTTCATGTGTTTCTTTATAGGATCGTGTGGAACTCGCGCCCCTCATATGAGGCCCATGTACCCGTCCAAAACATTCCCGAACCTCTACACGCTGGCCACGGTACCAAACACACTTCACAGCACAGCAGACAGATTCACTCAGCGCACTCAGATATAACTGAGAGATCACTGCTCTAATCATGAATCCGATCATCTGAAGCACAACATGTCAAATTCCTGCATGCTACGGACTGTATCTGGAGAGTTAACGTTGAAATGAAGGCTTTTAATGTATTTTTGCACAAGATGAATATGTAAATTATGTTATGTTGAGAAGAAATGTAAGATTATTTAAACTAGACTATTGATATATAACATGATAACTTGCCTAAACAAAATTGAGCCTTTTTATGAACATTGGGATTTCAAATTCTGACAGTTCAAAATGAAATACAAATATTTTAAGTATCACAGTATTTTTTAGTTGTACTGCAGTACTGAGAAACTAATGAAATTCACATAATTTCTAATCTTTTTGTTAATTTTTTACTCTATTTTACTATTTGTGTACCATTTATAGCGTGACTGTTATTCAATTATAAAATAATGTTCTTTTTAGCAGCATCATATGACCCCTTTAAGGAATTTTAATGATTCTGGTTCCACTTACCCATTCCATTAACAAATATTTTAGTAATTTTAAAGATTAAAGATATTAGGCAACATTTGAATATAAAAAAAATCTTGCATTTACTGTCCTTAGTAGCTAGTCGTCAAATAATTTTCAATGACATATCATTCAGCAATATGGTATGAGAGGCCATACATGTTTATATACAAATATTATATGTGGGTGAGCCCTCAAAATGACCAAAGCTGCATCAGCCACCTCTGGCTCAGTTTAACTACACGTAATATTTACATCAGTCTCGAAAGAATGGCATTTACACTTCCTCAAGGTTCCTAGTCTTCACTGGTCTATTAATGAAAGGGATCGTTTACTCAAATTCAAAAAAGTAATCATTTACTCTCCCTAATGTTGTTAAAAACCCATAAGACTTTTTATCATCTTCAAAATACAAATGAAGATATTGTTTAAAAAAAACAGAGAGAACAAAGCTCATTGGTTCTCATGTGTCAAGAAAGCACATGTGTGCTTCCATGTACCATTTCTGTAATTACTTACAAATAATTTTTTTTTTTTAAATAATTACTTACAAATAAAATCCTAAATTAAATCTGTTCAACATGTAAAATGATTGTGTCTCTTCAGAAAACTTGGATTGCCACTCAATTCATCTAAATTACAATTGTAATGCCTTTATGAACGTTTTGAGGCGCCAACATTTTAGTGAAATTGACCTT